CCCCAAAACCCCAAAACCCCAAAACCCCGTTGAGATTAGAATTGTTTAATGAGGCTAATAGTTAAATGTGAATTTATGAGCGCACAAAATGCTATAGGATTTAATCATACTGCAGTGTAGTCAAGCTTAGACTCTAACTTTTTGGTTTCCTTAATTTTTCTGGCAGCCTTCATGAAGTCCTCATGAAGAACATAATCTCTTTCAGCTCTGATAGCAAACATACCAGCTTCAGTACAAACATTACGCATATCTGCACCATTGAAGTCCTCACAAAGCTTTCCAATAGCATCGTAATCTATTTCACCATGCTTGGTAATTGGCTTAGCATGAATCTTAAGAATATCTATTCTTCCACTTTCATTAGGAAGAGGGATCTCAATTTTTCTATCAAGTCTACCAGGTCTGAGTAGAGCTGGATCAAGTGTATCTGGTCTATTTGTTGCCATGACTACTTTAACCTAACCTAACTCATCAAAACCATCTAGTTAATTCAGGAGTTCCATAAGTGTTCTTTGCACCTCTCTATCAGCAGATGAACTATCATTGAGTCTCTTTCCTCCAATAGCATCAATCTCATCCATAAATATAATACAGGGTTGATTTTCTTTTGCATAGGCGAACATCTCACGAATAACACGAGCACTCTCTCCAATATATTTATCAACGATTGAAGATGCTACAACTTTTAGGAATTTAGAATCAATCTAGCACGCAATAGCTCTGGCAAGGAGAGTTTTACCAGTACCTGGAGGACCGTAAAGCAAAACTCCCTTGGGTGGCTTAATTCCAACTCTAAGGAAGAGCTCAGGGTTCGTAAGAGGCAACTCTATAGTTTCTCTGATATCTCTGATTTGATTGGTGAGACCACCAACGTCGGAATACTTGACATTACCGGGGTCCTCAGCAAGCATGTTGTGAACATTTGGGTCAACTTCACGAGGAAGAATTCTCATAATTGTGTAAGTTGTCATATCGAGGGAAACTCTAACACCTGGCTTTAGCTTAGTCTTATCAATCTTTGGTCTGCAACCCACTACATATCTTGGACCAGAAGCAGCTTTGACCATAATCTTCTCCTCAGTGATTTTCTAAAGCACTTCTCCAACAAGTTAACCAATACTCTCGATATTTTTAAGATGTTACTCAGTTTTCTCAAAAGTTTTTTTCTTATCCTCTTGTTGAAGTTTAACTATGTTATATTAGAGGATAAGTAATTTAATTACGATTCTTAAATCTCTCTTGCTATTCTGAAAGATCCTTCTATCTCTGAACGTAAGTTCTAATTAGAGCTTCTCTATCTGTCATTTTTGAATTTATAAAATTAATTACTTAACCAATTTTTAAATGCTTCCCACTTCTTTTTATAATTATCAATCTATGGGGTTTTGGGGTTTTGGGGTTTTGGGGTTTTGGGG